CTAGATTTTATACTCCTCTTTGGATTTATACATAGTTACATTTATGGACCTAAACTTGGCTGACCTGATGTGTTAATTTATTGTCAGAGGTTCATCCGAATTCTTTCTTTATGCATTTCTAACAATAATCTCCGTAGCCCGATGGGAAAACCAATCAAAGCAGAAAGGTAGTCAAATTGTCGTGAAAAGAAGACACAACACTACTTTGTATTGCTCTGAGAGCTTGAAATTAGACCATGAAAAAGAAAGCTGGGCATAAACTTTGTTTTTGAACGAGAATCTAAGAATTAACTTGGCAGCCCTAGTAAAAAGACAATAAACGTCAATGGTAATTATTATTATGTTTTCCGTTGTTGTAATCTGAGCATATTTTGAAACATAATTGTTCTAAACGACACAGGTTTGTTACAAAATGATAAACTAAAGAAAAGAAAAGTGAAAAAAAATCAATGCAATGCTTTTCATACCTTTGATAGCTGGGCATAGTGCCCAAAAGTAAGTCTAAAAAATTAACACTAACTTCCGTGGCTTAGGACATTTATTACAAATTTATTGTAACAAAATAATTAGCTCTAGTAATTATCTAACTGTAATAACAATAACACTAATTCGATGTTTACAGCTTTTAAGAAGAAAACCAACTACTTGTTACGTATTCTCAGAGTAGGGCTGAGAATAAGTCAAGAGTTATTTTTGTGTCCATTTTTCTTCATTTAAAGTGCTTTTCGATAAATGACTCAAAGTACAATTCCATTTCTTATTTGAAAAAGGCTCAATCTAGGCAATTGTACGATAGAATCACACCTGGAGCTGCTACTAATCAAGTCTGTGTGATCTCGTCTCTGCATTCGTTGCTCTAATAAACAATAGAGCGTTTAAAATAGCAGCTACGAAGTCCAATTAGGTGAAATTCGAGAGCTGAATTGAAATTGCAGTTCAAGGAGCTATTCTTTGCATAATCTAGTCGTAGTAAGAGATCAGATTCCAAATATGAGGGGAGATCATAGACCATATTGTAAATTTGCAAGTAATTGTACACCTTTGATGGATTTGAGGGAGTGGGCGGGGAATTTTTTTTGGGCAAAAACGCGCGAAATTTGAATTCTATCTTGAACTGCTCCTGCGTCGAGTGATATTACTCGAGCTATACATGCGGCTCTTCAGTTGTTTCTTCTGCTAAGAAAAAACCTATCTAGTAGCATATTGCAGCCCTGAAGCACAGCAATCTCATTTGGAACACTCGACCGAGGGCAGAACAAATAGCATCACACACCCGGACGGACGGACCGCGCGGTCATATGTATTCTCTCCTCGGTGCTCTGCCATGAGTGCCGCGAGTGTGCTGCCAAATGCGCGCCACTGAAATGCAGTCCACATGCGGCGCAGAGCGCGAATCTTTATTGTTTACACTATAAAACATCTCAAAACGTTTTCCACCCACTCTCGACTACACTGTGGTTTACTTCTCTGTTAGTGCTAAAATTGTGCCTTGAGCGAGTTCTTTGATTCCCGAGTGTTGCGTAAAAGTTTAAGAAAGTACTCGAATAAGTGCAAATTCGCAATCAGAAGAAGACGGGCTAGAGGAGTCTCGCCGCGAAAATTCATGGATCACCACTCATCCAGCTGGATCCACTTATACAACCAATATATCATACTGTATCCTACTGTATATTCTGCTTTTTCACAAATCACGGGTATTCGGCTCCCACTCCACCCACTCTTCCGCTGTCCTGCCTCTATCTAAGTCTTAACTAGCAATATGCACGGGCAGCTTTTGCATTATCAATAATTAATTTTCTGTGACTGGAGTTATGAACTTTCTTCGAACTTCTAGTAACTTCTGTTCTTGGCAACCGTATGTATCAATCATAGCTTTTTCTACGTATTCTGAAATCTTTGCTCAATTTCGTGTTTACTACAAAATATTGCTTTTTACAAATTAATAGCAATGTCATTCGATACATCTCCTTCCCACAAAAAGTTTTTCTTTACATTTTCTGAAGTAAAACCTCAAAAGAGCATAAGTCCACAGTTTTCGAAATGCCAGCAAGAGTTAAGAGACGCCAAGGGAAAATTGGTTAAAGGGCAATTTTGTTGAGATCAACGGTCCGAAAATCTAATCTTTGAAGTCAAGCTCAAAAATAGTCTAAGTTAGCGCTGTATCTAGCTTTTTGTCAATACAAGGATAAATTACGCCAGCCTCAAATGATATATAACAATTCCGAACTCTACTTGTCAACATATAACAAACGCTAATAAGGTAAATGCCCCATTTACTTTTGTGGTTTGTTTATATTCGATGAAATGTGCTGTTTCATATTGCTTGAGATTAATATAGACGATATAAAATCGAATTCCAAAGTAGCATTACTGCAAAATTTCTCTTTAGTAAAAAAACAATGATGATAGCTCAAAAATGAAACTATTAATTTGTTAACAACTTACCAGAAATGATAAAATTCCGTTAACACTTCGATTACTGCATTCAAGGTTATTCTGCAAAAATAGAGAAAGATAGCACTTACAGTAATCCTACCGTAATGCTGTGTGAGATTGTAGCCTTAGTTCTTTGCCATGTTTACGGCCCTTCAAAGTGGAGCGATAAAAAAATCGTCAAATTTCTGACCTTTGAAGTTGGAGACGTTGTGTGGCTACTTCAGCATTATATAAAAATATTTCCAAAAATCATTGTAAACATGGCGAGAAACTAAGGCTACTATTTCGCACAAGATTACGGTAGGATTACTGTAAGTGGTATTTTCTTCTATTTTTTTGCAAAATAATTTCGAACGGAGTTATCAAACTGCTAACAGCGTTTCCCTCTGTCATATAGACCTGCGAATTCACTCTAAATGCACTTTGAAACAGTCACACGCCTAGAATCCTGTTATAAGTCTTAGATTACATATATTGATTATGCAATAATATCCCAACGGCAAAAGCTACATTCCACAGCTTTCTTATTTTCGAAAATCTGCTTCTTCTTCTCATCAGCTTTTCAGTTCAAAAACGGAAGGTTTCTGTACAGAGCTGCCATTATTTAGTTATTTACTTCGTTAAAATGACTTTGCTAGCTTCGTATCTTTCTGCTCTTTTTAAACAAAGCAGGTCTTTTGCCCATGTCTATAGAAGCTTCTTCTTCATTTTTGCGCAAATATCTGCAGGTGGGATCCTGTAGACCATTCAGATCTTAGCAGTTCTCACTACTTGTGACTTATGACTTTTGTATTACAAAAAACCATAGACTATTCTGATCTCGGCGGTTTTCTCTACTGACGAGGCTCTTCATGGATTATATAGAGAGAAAATTATAACAACTGTAAATATTTTTGTCATTATTCAACCATTGAGCTCGAAAACAAAGTGCATTTTTATCTCTGCATGAATTCTAGGAAACAAAATTATGCCAATTTTGTTGCTGTTCTGGCGTTCAAATCCATTTTCGCGCCATAATCTGATTTTTTGCACAAGAGCAAACGGCCCATAAAAGTAATGAAACAAATGAGAATGTGAACTTTTTTGCGCTATCCCACCGTTTCGAGCCGAGCATAAATAGCATAGGGTATGATATATTGAAATATACTTTTTGCTTTGAATTATGTAATGGAACGCCTGTTTGATTTAGTTGAAGAAAACATCATGCGAGGAGATTTTTCCCTGAGGCATATAAACCAGCGCCAAAACAATATCTATCCTTGGCTGATGCGATAGAAACGAGAAGGTGTTGATAGAGCTTTTCGGGAGCTTCTCATCTTCAGCTCAATAACATCTCCTTCTCTGTATAAATCTATCACTTTATATCAATATTAGTTAGTAAAATTGCGCGAAATTCAAATATATAATTAGTTTGATACGTTAGTTTTGCATCAAAAATATAAATTGTTTTTCAAAACGCTCAAATAATTTTTTCAAGGCACATCATTTACGTTTTGTTACATATATCAAAAGTTGTATTTTATCATAATTATTAGAGAGTTTCTGGAAAGCGAAAAGTTGTACAAATGTCCTATCATCATGCTTTTCTTCCAAATAGAAAAAGTCTCTCGTAAGACCGAAAGCAAAATCAAATTGAAAATTTAATAACTTGGTAATTTTAGGGAAGAAAATTACCGACTTTCTGATTACTTTTCTTCATCAGTTTGTGTCTTTGCGAAGTGACAGCAATAAAAATCGCTTCAAGTTACTTGTGGTTGAAGTAAAGAATTTTATTAGAATTGGAAAATGATATGAATTTTTCCAAGACTTATGTGTCAACCATATACAATAAAGGGTTCCAAATGCATCAAGTCAAAACATTCGTTTCGATCAGAAATGATTTTACAACAATATTACGGCAAAAGGTTTATTACGGGAAATTATTGATAGTCATACTTTCTGTAAAATTTTATAAACAGGAAAATTTTCTCATGCCTGTCACAACAGTTTTACTCTCAAAAGCAGATTTTCACCAGCATATACTTGATCATTTTGTTGATGTATTAGAATTTCGATTCTCAGCGCTAATTGAGCTGACATCTCTCCAAACATTTTTTCCATAAAAATTTCTTCGTTGAAAACTGATACTGAGATTTCATATCCTGCTTTGATAGCAAAATTTTGATCTTTCATGTTTCGAACATATCAAACACCTTCTAGCTCTTTAAAGTTCGTGTCTCAGCTTCTTCGTAACTATCCATAACCGCCGATACGTTCTCGTTTTTCTTTCTCTTGTATTAAAATTTCAAACTCGTTTTGTTACGCCTGAAATAGCATATTATGGTGAACATTTCCCTGGAGCAAATTAATTTTCTCAGGGTTCTTTCCGATGACGCAGAAGTTGTACATTTTCCGGTCAGGTAGTGAAAAGACTGACAAAAGACTTGTTTGCATAATAAGTCTCTAAGTACATAATGGGTCCAGTGCGCTGGAACTTGTTTTCTTAGTGAATTTTGCATGAATAATATTCGTATATGAGTTTTCATTTACTTTGTTTCGGTGTTTTTTAAATTATAAATTCTAGAATGAATGCCACGAATAGCGCAGCAGTAGTCCATGAACAGTTCACACTTGGAGAATATATATTTTATTTGAGTAATGGTGCTGTTGGATCTCTCTTTAATTTTATCGTGCTTTGGATTGCTATGATCTATATTGACACTGATGACAAGCCAAGACAAGTGAGTTCTTAAAAGTTCATGAAAGTTCAAAGCCATTGGGGAATTAGCACTAGCATAAGGTGAAATATCTGCGAATTTTGGAATTAAAACTTTGAAAACTTTTTCGAAAAAATTTACAATAGTTGATTGCTAGTTTTGGAATTATGAACACCAAAGAGCACGAATGGAATATTTACTAAAAGCGAAACAAAATTAAGTTACGTTGAATCACAAGAGGTTTTTAGTGACACCTACTCAAAAGTTCATAAATAATTCTTATCGCATGTCAGGAGGAGATGACCTGCTACGAATTTCTTATACCATAATCAAAATACATTCCTTTTTGAAGATGATGAAAAAGATTTTAGCAAATTAAAAATCTCACCAAATTTTTGCAGAAACGGAAATAAGAGCAGACTTTTGAATGCCCCAAAATTCAAATTTAGCCATGGTACAAATTTTTTGGTATTTGTTTCACTTTCATTGAAGCTGACATATCTATACTACGGTATATTGGAGATTACATCAGACGCTAATTGTGTGTGACACCATGCTGTTATGTGAAAATACGTTTTCGTCTAGCAGCATTCCTGCTGAACCGTGCTAAAGCAGCCAAATATTTGTGGATATAAAATTGAGCTGTACTCTATCGTTGAGAACATAATCTTGTACCCATATTTTTTGAAAACTAAGTTTCCAGACTCAATGAGCTCGAAAATATTTACACATTCAAAAGGTTGAAGGGGCTTTTCAGTAGTTCCTGGAAAAAATAAATATTATATAGTGGCAGCTCATGTTATATCTTATTAACTGCCTCGAATGATAAAGGGTTTAACAACTTTGCGCTTATTTTTGGTTAGTTTTGATAACTTACTTTTCTTGAACTAACATACATTTGTGAGGATCGGATTTTTCCACGTAGTTGCTATTTTCTATTTTTACTTTGTTGAAAACAGTCATTAGCGCATGCTATAGAGTATTATATTATATACAATGTAAAAATGTTGTACGAATTAGAACGATTACCTGAGTACGTTCGAATAGTTTTTAGAAGTTCTGATACAAAATTTCTGTTCAAGCCAGGGCTCGGCATGAGGTGGCTAGTTGACAAAAAAAGAAGTCCCTCTTGACTTTTGCTAATTTGTACGAAGCATAGTTGCGATAGGGGGAGTGATGGATCTTACCCCCTTCACTTTGAGGCCAAACTCCCGATGACCCCCTTCACCTGGGCTGAGATTGGTATTGTACTCTGAGAATATGATAAAAATCGTTATTAAAAGGTTTTGCAGGCTAGGTACCTCAAACAACAAGCACACTCATAAATTTACTAAAGTAACGGTATTTATATTTATTTATATTATTTATTTATCCTCGTAGCATTCATTTGGAGAGCAGAAAGTGAGGGCACAAAATCAGTTAATTTTTGAAGCACATAAAATCCCTCATATCTCGCGACACAGAAGACCTAGAAAAGAGTCGACGGTCTACGTCGATTCTCCATGATCTCAGCTTTCGAATGGTGTAGAGCATGTTAGGGCTTCTTTGCTTCCCGGCTCTAAAAATCATTTGCTCCGGTGACCCATAAAAGCCAATACATTGGTGGAGCCGGATTGGAGCAAGCTAATAGTAAATATCTCCACCCCATTTTTGAAAACTGGTCTGTTTTTTCGCCCAGCAACCTATATACCGTTCGAAAGCTCAGGAAAAGGGGATTCGATCTAGATTGTCGACTTCTTTCTAGCCCCCCTCTACCGAGAGATACGCCGCATTTTATTTGAAAACATGGTCATTTTCAACAGCAGATTTCTGCCAAATGAAGACATAATCACTGCTGATTATCTATCTGTGTTAAAGAGCAAGTCTTCATTAACAAACGTAGACCGTCGACTTTCTCGTAGCGTTCATTTGGAGAGCAGAAAGTGAGGGCACAAAATCCGTTAATTTTTGAAGCACATAAAATCCCTCATATCTCACGGCACAGAAGACCTAGAAAAAAGTCGATGGTCTACGTCGATTCTCCATGATCTCAGCTTTCGAATGGTATACAGCATGTTAGGGCTTCTTTGCTTCCCGGCTCTAAAAATCATTTGTTCCGGTAACCGATAAAAGCCAATACATTGGTGGAGCTGGGTTGGAGCAAGCTAATAGTAAATATCTCCACCCCATTTTTGAAAACTGGTCTGTTTTTCGCCCAGCAACCTATATACCGTTCGAAAGCTCAGGAAAAGGGGATTCGATCTAGATTGTCGACTTCTTTCTAGCCCCCCTCTACCGAGAGATACGCCGCATTTTATTTGAAAACATGGTCATTTTCAACAGCAGATTTCTGCAAATGAAGACATAATCACTGCTGATTATCTATCTGTGTTAAAGAGCAAGTCTTCATTAACAAACGTAGACCGTCGACTTTCTCGTAGCATTCATTTGGAGAGCAGAAAGTGAGGGCACAAAATCCGTTAATTTTTGAAGCACATAAAATCCCTCATATCTCACGGCACAGAAGACCTAGAAAAAAACTGACGGTCCACGTCGATTCTCCATGATCTCAGCTTTCGAATGGTATACAGCATGTTAGGGCTTCTTTGCTACCCGGCTCTAAAAATCATTTGCTTCGGTGACCCGTAAAAGCCAACACACTGTATAGATCGTCCCGAAAGTTTTTGCGCACGATTTTCAAAAATTCATAACTTTTGATTTTTCCGACCGATTTGACTGCTTTCATTTTTATCTGAAAGGGTAAGTCATGCTCTTTATAACGACATCTCAGTTGCTTAGTAATGCTCATCTGTTACATAGGTAGAAGCTCAAAACCAAAATCTCTCAAAATTTGAATTTTTGTGTAGGGTCATAAAAAATCAGAAACTTGCAACAAAAATCGGAGCAGTCGGTATTGTAGGTTCTTTCACCAGCTCTTTCTAACAGTGCAAAGTTTGCTCCGATTGAGCGTCTCCATGAAAAGTTATGATTTCCGAGCAAGCAATACAAAAAGGCGAATTTGATTTATTTTGGCATTTTTCAGGGAAATCATAACTTTTCATGGAGACGCTCAATCGGCGCAAACTTTGCACTGTTAGAAAGAGCTGGTGAAAGATCCTACAGTACTGAATGCTCCGATTTTTGTTGCAAGTCTCCTTTTTATGACCCTACACAGAAAATTAAAATTTTTACCATTTTTCTTCTATCGCTCCTATCTATGCAACAGATGACCGTTACTAAGCAGCTGAGAAGTCATTATAAAGAGCATGACTTACCCTTTCACATAAAAGTGAAAGCAGTCAAATCGGTTCGAAAAATCAGAAGTTATGAATTTTGAAGCGCAAAAACTTTCTGGACGACCTAATAAGAGCGAGGTGGAGCAAGTTAATAGTAAAAAATGTGCTGTGGATTGACATCGTTATCAGCACTAACGGGAACGTGAGCGAACGCGTCTATTTGAGCGTCCTTATCGTTGTTATATGTTTATGTTTTTTTGGTAAAAAATGCGCTTTTGATTGACAGTTATGCCATCATTATTAGCGCACACTCAAAAAACTATGGGAGATTGGTAAATTTCCACACCTTCACACAAAAACCTGCCCATTTCTGGAATCTATACTCTGTAAACTGGTGCTGAAGAAGGTCACTTTCACGATAACGCTCTAGACTCACCTTACCTAATTTGTAGAGAACGTGGTTGAGTTCAATGAATCAAAAACTTCAAGACATTCAGAAGAATAACATGTTATTAAATTATTCCTCAATGTTTTGGAAAGGTTGGCAGTTTGAAGAGGAAACGGCAGGCAGAATGCTTTACAAAATCGCAGATGAGTTCCAGTTCAATAGCGAGACAGAAGGAGAATCTTACGCCAACGAAAATGTTGTCGACATTGACACAGAGTTGACAATTGAGCGAAACTCTCTGATTTCCTGCATAAGGAATCCAAGCAGATTGTCTAGTTTCAATGAGGAAATGTCCAGGAAGTCCATTGCCGGTCTTCAGGTTGCTGAAGAATTCAAGGCTGCTAAATTCACAAACATGGATATGAACAAAAGGAAGGTGTTAGTACAAAGCATAGTTACTGCACTTAGATCCCCGGCTGGAGTGCGAACCCAACTCTGTGCTTTATGCTTTTGGAAGTTATTCGCCTTGTGACATTATGACCTATGATATTGAAAAAAAACCAACGCGCAGCATAGTAATCTACTTTTTTTCGGCTATTCCGCAGAGATGCTGTTGAAGAAGAAGTTGAGCAGCTTTCTCGTCAGTTAACAGGAAGTATGCCAGAGGAGGTGAAGCCAGAGTTCGAAAAGGCCCAAAAATGTATGCACTATTTCCTTCTCGTGCTGCGAAAGCATATGCGATCTGGCTCTTTTCCCATTACTTACCGCAAAAATCTGATGGACTTACTAGCAAAGCTAGTTTCCATTCCGACTAGCACGGCAGAGGTGAAGAAAGAAATTTTCTATCTACTCTGTTATCAGAACACAACGCAGAAGTCGTACAACGATAGAGCATCTAAGCAAATACTTAAGATTTGTCACCTTCTACTAAACACATTGTTATCTAAAAACTTCATTTAAAGGATTGGTATAAGTGGTCCAGACAGGCTGTTACCGTATGACTTTTTGAAATATCCTAAAAGATGGTATGAAGAAACTGGTCACCTACCTGCTGACTTCCTGATGCTACCAGAGGGCCAGGAAAAAAATCACAAAAGTGCTCAGAAGAAGAAGAAAGTTTCAAATCCATTTTTGACTTAAAACGCTTTGCACGCAATTCTACTTCCACTCCGATGACCTTTTGGAGGAAGAAGAAGATTTTTCAGGCACCGAATTTGTTGTCTCTGACGTTAGCGATAGTGATATTGTTGATGATGATGCGCAGGAAATGAAGTTGTTCCTAAATTCTACATCTTTTGGGATAAACCTTATTGCTTTTTTTGTTGATGCAGTGAAACAGGAGCACAGATCTTCATAATGAATTTTTTTAAATTTTTAAATTTCTTTTGAACATTTTTAATTTTTTTTTCAATTTGTGCCTAAATAAATTAGAGCTTTTCATACCACGCTTTCTTACCTTTTCTCTCTTCCCCCCCCCCCAGACTCACATACCCCCTTCACCCTGGAAGGTCGGGAACAGCCGAGACCCCCTTCACCTGGGGAGATCCCGGCTCCCCCTATCGCACCTATGGTACGAAGTCCCCTTTGACCCCAGACCACAATCCCTAGAAAAATCTCCTAAAAACGAAACGTCGACTAAAAAAAACGTCGCAAATTTCGTCTTTTCGGTCACAAAAACGAAACACCCTTTGCTTTTCGTCCCAAAAACGATATCCAGCTTTCTTGTAAGCCACCTGTGCCGAGCTCTGGTACAAGCTAAGTGAGGATATGAAATTGAAAATGATAGTTTTGAATCTTACTATAATTTTTCAGATAATCGTGATAAACATGACATTTGCCGACCTCCTTATGTGCCTAACCTACATGTTAACCAGACCATACTTGAGCTTCTTTCCAAATATTATATGTCATCCCTATTATGTTACAATATGGACTATTCAACTGGTCAGCTGCGTTAATTTAGTGTGGTAAGTGAACTCAACTAGTACAATTCGTATTTGCATTCTGAGAGTAAAAAATGCCGGATGAATTTTTTGTGCTTCTAAATTGCTGTACAAAATCCATCTAGGAATCATCAGCCTTAAATACTTTTGCAGACATTGTTCTTGAAATCAAATTCAATGCTAGTCAAGCATTGACTAGGCCCTTGAAATGTTCACGAATCATAGTTTTTATGCTCTAGACTTCTGCTAGTCGCTTTGCGTCATTCAGTATAGACTTTTGCAAAATCTCATTTTTTTCCACAAAACAATAGCTTTGCTTCAGAATTCAATCATTCCTTATTTGCTCATGAATACCAAATTTCAAGTAATTATTCCTATTCACAAACGAAAATCAATCTTTTTTCAAAGAAACCTTGTTGCACAAAGTCAGTAGAAGTAATTTTCAATCTGAAATTCGTTATAAGTGAATACATACGAATTCAATAAGGACTTTTAATTAGTTTGGTGAATTGCAAGAAAATGTTTTTGCAATCAACCTTATTTTTTGCATCACTAGAAAATACTTGCAAAACACAAAAATCATTATTATAAAATCTTAAGAATCGATAGTAGGCTGTGCTTAGAAATTCTATCATTTTATGAAGTTTTTTCGTACAAATTAGTTGATTCTGTAAGTTCAAATAATTATTTATTCTCTCATTCAACGGATGGTGAATCAAAATTATAAAAAAACAAAAAATAACATTATGACCTATTATTGAACTGGCTGGGACTGCAATAATATGATTCCAGGCTGAATATTGACAAGCTCATATTCATCCAATTTCCCCTTCACTACTATTCGATTATAAATAGGAAAAAAATTCTAATACTATGCACAGCGACATGGATTGTTCTCGGATATATTTCTTTCACAGTCGAATCGTATATGCAAGTTATGGTAAGAAATCGAGTTCTTGATTTTCCTTATGAAACATTTTGAGCTTTTTTTATAGGGTGGATGCGAACGAGTATCGATAAATCCATACATATACATGCCTATTTGTATACTGTATGTTGTCGTTATCGTTGCATCGTTCACAATTTCTGCTATAATTTACTGCATAGCTCATACGTCTACTAAAGCCGAAACAAGGCAAAGAACGGTAAGTTGCACAATTTTTTTTTTTACTATTGAGTCCTTCAAATTTTAGAGCACAACTGACCAGGTGCAAATCTAGATACAGTCAAAAACCTTCCCAAACGAATTTTCTGCATTTAAGATGTTTTTTCAAATTTTGGTGAAAATTAGCATTTCTTTTTAACCGAATACTAAGCTACGGTAGCTGTGTAGGAACGTATCTAGAATCTTGGAGAAGCACAAGAATAACATAGCGATGCATAGCAAATGCAAGTTATATAGAAAAGAAGTATCTTTTCAAAAATTATGCCCGACAAAAATGTTTTTTACCTTTTAATTTATAACTGTGGGGGTCCAAAAGAGGCTTTTGTTTTCTAGCAGAGATTGAGAGCAAGTTGAACTCATAATTTCTGCAAATTGCTCTTTTCTATTTCCAAAAAATCATTCAGTTGTAATAATAATATGTTCTATTATTGAAGACTGTTCTTATTTTTAGGGTTTGAAAAAGATGTTTTTACGTGATTTGTAAAACAGCTAATTTACAGCATCGAAATGATGTCATATAATTCTACATTTTCCTGTAGTTACTTATGACAAGGAATAAATATTTCAAAATTTTAGAAACTTTTCCACCGACTGTTCTTCTTGTTCTCAAGCACCTTGTGGACATTCTTCACGTGCCTTCCATATCGAATATTATATCTTATGAATATGCTATGTAAGTCAGTTTTTTTGTACTTGGTTATTATGAGTTTCCTTTCCACTCGCGCCTACGTATCCGTGTCGCAAAGGCCTTGCGTGCAGGCGTATAATAAAATCATTTGTATTTAATATGTGAAACTGCAGACAGCATGCGACACTCACGACTACTTTCGCAAATTACATTAAAAAGTGTTTAGCATAACAATGTCGAAGAAAGAGTATTCACTCCCCTTTTTAAGTAAGCTAGTTGAGGAAAAAAGACCTGAAAATAGGTAATTTTCAATCACATAGTTCGTAAGATACCGCGCAGCCTGTGAATTCTGCACATAAGTCACAAGTAAGTCGACTATGCGTAAGACTTGAGAGATTTTCTAATCTGCAATTGATGACATAGAAGCTTGATATTTTGGTTTTTCCTAACTTACATGTATAATGTAGTGTCTAAAAAATAGAATCGAGTTTATGAAAAGGATGTAATCTGTCAAAAGTCAGCAAAACGCGCAATCAGACGACTGCAAACGCGGCGCAGGGGCTTTGCGACACGGGCGCGCCGGCCCACGCAAAGGGTATGCGCCATTGACACAGAGTGTACTCCAGCGTATTTTTGAATGAAATTTTGTCTTTAGGTTCTCCATGTCGCACTATGCTGGTGCGTCAAATAACGGATATGTTTTTCCGAATATTGGTTGTCGGGATGGTCATCAACCCGCTGATCACTATCTGGACCCAGCGAATTTATCGCATGCGACTGTTGAAGCTACTCAATGCCTGTCATATTTCCTTAGCAAACGAAGAAACCGATTTGAGCACACGAAGACAATCGACCAAGTGGAGTACTGTAGAATCGGTGCCCTTGGCTACAAATCTGTGATCTTTGCCCATTATTTTAATTGCTGTAGCTGATTACCATTCCTTATTATCACTTCAACATAATTTTTCGCTGGTTTGTGTTCCAAGAACTTTTCTCAAATCTGATTCTTCCCTGCTGTATCAAATTTCAAAATGATTGAAGTTACCCTCAGCCATATCATTGTACCAAATAATTAGAACAGCTGTGATTTTCCGCTTACATCTTCATTAATAGGCTAAATTATTCTCTTCTGGACTCTCACATGAAAGCACTGATTTTTCCGCACTCCAAGCCTACCTTAACAAAACAAAGCAATCTCAGACATAAGCACAGAAATCGAAAAGAAATTGAAAGTCAAGTCCACAAAATATAGCAAATACCGCTTTTTGTTCTTGCCTTGTGATCCGAAATTTGTTGCTAAAAAATTTGCAACACGGATACACCATAACTATGAAAATTTTTTTGAAATGGTAAAATTTGCAGCAGAATTGTTTTTTAACTTGTGGTGTTTGCATAAAGAGGGTTAGACATGTGATAATTGGATGAGTCTTTCCCACTTGATCAGTCTCTTTGTGCAGTTGCACCATTTTCGAGATCTGCAATGTGCAAGCCAGTAGCGATGAGGTTCCATCGTGGTAGAAAGCGGAAAAGGTAGGTACTTCAAGTTCATGGTTAGATGATATTGTCCCATCATTATTCCAAATTTAGTGCAATTGCAGAAAGCGACTGCTTAAATGACGACGACACTACGTAAGAGTGGTTCATGTGCTTGCCATTACTGCCAAATCGAACGCTGCAAATCCAGTGATTTCATTCGGTGTTGTTTTTGAGAACAAGCAGCAAAGGCTACCGTTCATAATGTTTTAACATCTTAAATGAGTTCAATGTTGTGTGGGAGTTCGAAAAAACCCTGGCACTGCAACTGACAGCGCTTTCGTCATTATCTGGTCAATTTGTAGCAACATGAATTATAGCAAAAGCCGTCAACTTCAGCAGCTGGTAAATTCCAAAGACAGTCAGCTGTCCACTTCGTTTTAGTTTGTGAAGCAATGAAGCAAAGCTTAGCAGGGAATGGTCGGAAATTAACTCAGCCATACTAAACATGCTGTATATCCTCGGAATCGCCTTGGAACGCTGATCACGAATATATGTTTATTATCTGCCAAGCGACCGTCTGGAAGGAGCTATGAGCGTTTAAATGTGCGATTTGCTAAGTGTTCTGTGGCGCATGTTCCACATACGTTTCAGAAATACTTATTTAGGTTCTTGAAGAATGTGCTTCTTCTCTGTAATCAAATTAACAATAGCCAGTGTAAATTCGCGCCATCAGCTGCCTTTCAAAGAAATATATTCGTCGAAAGTCGATAAATTTCTCATATTTGAACGTTCATAACTCCTCTCGGATAGTCGCTTAGCAGATAATAAACACATTATCAAAATCAGCGTTTTGAAACGAATCCGATGATATACTCCTTTTTGGAATGGCTGGGTTAAGTTTTGACCATTGCTTAGGTCGCCTGCGCGTCTAGAGTCGCCTATTGCGGCGCAGTGAAACGTTTGATCGACACCTCTACAAGTGTTCCGGCACGGCACTGGCACAGCGTCGGCACTTGGCAACTTTGGACACCCCTTTGAGTTGTCGACGTTTGCGTATAATCCTTCCTTTTCACAAATTTCTGATACACAAATGTTACAATGTTTTGTAGTTATAAAGCAACATTCAAGTACTGTTTTGATGAAATAACATAATTTTCACGACTTGTAGCTGTTCAGCCACATGAAGGTTCTTATAAGCAAAATTAAGAAAATGCAATTTTTCTCGAGCTGCAACTAGCCTTGTGCTCAGTTGCTCGTGTACAATGTATGAGGTCAAAACATAAGCTTTGTCCCACGAATCCATGAAAAACTCATTTTGAGGTGTTTTAAGGAAGCTTTAATGCGAAATATATTGTCCAGGGGCAAGAGGCGAAACAGAACCACTTTCCTAACAGAACTCTCATAATATTCCGATATTTTAGGTTCTTCCATAAAAAATTTTGTTCTCAAACGAATTGCTTATAACCTTGGCTGCATTCGATGCAGCTTTTCATTTTTTTCGAAATTGTTTTGCAGTTCAAAAATTGTCCCCACGATTTGTAAGCCCCCCCCCAAACCCAATAGGACAGAGATCTCCCAGGTTTTTTTTTCAGCTATCAAAGTTTTGCAAAGTGATTTTCAAGGTACTGACATTTCGTAATGAATGAGTAGTGGGCAAGTGCACACCGCTGTTCACACTTTCTAATTTGATGGATGTGGCACTCACTCAAAAATGCTAAATCGCTTTCAAAACGATCTGGTACACAAAATTCTGCGCTTTCTTAGTCACACTTCATATATGATATTTTAGTTTGTCGAAGAATCGGCAGATCAAACTTTTCAAGGAAGCAAGGAGTGTGACGGAAAATGAACCAGAAATGAAGCTGAATTCTACAGGACCTTTTAGGACTTTTTGCAGCCGATCCAAATTTTCAGGATTTTGGTGAATTGGCTTGTAATGCTGCGATATGAAAATGATATTCTGGCTTTGAGCAAATTCATACACTAGAAAAAGTATGATTTGTAACATGATACCCTATAGTACAATAGTGATCGGAGCTGAATGAACTTCCTTTTCAAACATGATAAACAAGGAAACATTTTCGTTAGCAGGGCGCAAAAGTAAGAGTTTGTGGATTTAGATAGATTCTGGGGCTTCATTGCCATTACTAACTTCCTCCCAACTAATTTATTTACATATTTATTTATCAATACACTTGAATTGTGCCGAAAAAAAAGGAACTTAAACAAATGGGGTACCAGTAAGTCTTAAAACTCAGACAGATAAAAAAGACATGGAAGAAAACAGTTACAAATCAAAACTCTGTAGATCATTAAAATATGAATCAGTATTAGCTTGTCAAATGACATTCGAAGTCACAGAATAAGTCCTAAAACCTTGCTTCCTCTAAAAATTTCTTATGAGCAGTTGCACTCCATCCCCCCCCCCCCAAGATCCACTTCGAACTTCAAACATCTCTTCCAGACTTTCAAGTAATAACTTTGATTATACCGAAACCGTTGAAGATAACCAATGTGATCGAAATAATCATTATGCTTGTGGGAGGGAGAGAAAGATCCTTTTTTTTGGGGGGACTTTTCCTCAGAAATAGATTATAATGACAGAGATGAGCTTAATTTCAAATTAGTTTTGCTTAAAACACCATCGTAAACCTGCGAATGTTTTATTAACAAAATTATATGACAGCGAATAATGACAAGATGTGCAGTAAGTAATGCACAATTACGGTATGACGATCCATACTGAGTTCGAATAAGACGTATTATACAGTGAAAATCGAGCATCACTTCGATGAAAATCGTTGGAATCAATCCAGAAACAAAAGAAAAATCCTAGACCAATGTGTCCTACTGCTAGCGACCCGGTGGATGCGTGAACAACAACAACATAAGTCATGAATATGGCGGAAATGAGAAGGATCAGCCTGAGGCAAAATTGTTATCATTGGACCACCAAAGTTCGCTATCTAAGTTTAACACAACATAGAAAGTGAGAACGAGGAGACACATTATTCGAAAGCGTTGCTCGCTGATAGCATCAGAGCAATTTTGGTAAGGCGCTCAGAGTAAAGTTAGTACCTTTGGTTAGTGAAAGTGATAGAGTGACGAGAATTCGCTTTATGAAAAGAGGTTGAAAGCGAGAGGTTGCGAATGAAAATCATTCAAATCGTCGGTTTTCCAGGGTAGTCGGGCGCCATTAGACCTGCACCTAGTTTTTCGGAGTTGTAGAGATTCTCGTGTGGACCGTCGTCAAGGCCTCCTGGACTCGTTGATTTGGTTGAATGACTGTGTCCTGGGTTATTGTACGACATCTGCAAGAAAAATGTTGATTGTTGTGCTTACTGAGGCCTATATCAGCGACATGGCTCTTTTGCACCGCTCGCCATCGCGGCGCCTCTGATTGGCTGGCTGTGGGTCATGATTGGTCAGGCTATGAGCAGCGTGGAGGAGTGAATAGGCATTGCGTGCAAGCTTGTTTGTACAATTTCTGCATACTTTCTATGCTTAATAAAATGAAAGTTGTTGTCGCACGGATCAGTGGTGGGTCAAGAGGCGGGGGAGGAGGGGGGGTGGTAAATATTGGACTACAAGGTTCAAAAAATTTGCGGTATCTTGTTTTTGTAAAAGGTCGAAATATTCTTGGACGTTATTCTAATCCAATAGTCTCACAATGAAAACTTCAAAGGAACGGTTCCCGCCACGCCCCCAATTCTAATTTATAGAAGTGAGCCCGAGAAAATCTCAGCTTTGCTTTCCCAGAAAATCATAGAGGGCGCGGTTACTCAATGACATCTTGCATCTGGGACATTTTGTGCTGTTTTTTTAGACACTAAAGTGGTTCTTGTGTACAGCAGTCTGCGCGCGCAAGTGGTGCAAAAGGGCCTGTCTCCTGAACGAACCTGTTCGAGGTAGTCAGTGAATAGTTTCGTTGTCAACTCTCGAGCTACAATTGCACCAGCATGTCCCTCAATGAAACGAAGCAAAAGAACACCGTCTGAAAAATTGAACATTGACATTAATTAACCGTAAGACGGTGCGCGCCGCGGGAAATGGCAGATGTTGGCAGCGTGCCAGCACTTACCCGGACGCAACGCAGCATGCGTGAAACGGCGCATGATATGTTGATGACGGTAACTGTCCGTGCTGTCTTCACCGTATCGTGGACAAGACAACCATGTTCTGGTCGATTTTTCACGGAACGATGTCAGCACCAATTGTAAGAAACAATAGGCAAAATTGATAGCTGTTGAGATGGCAACAAACAAGAACCAGAACCTAAAAAAGCAATTTTTTACAACTGGAAGTAGGTTTTAAAATGCTAAACCTACCAGACAAACAAATAGATTTTTTCGTTGAACATATTAATCATAAGCACACATTGTACTGTGTATTTATGTGTATTGGCAAGTCGTCGAATTTTAAAGTCGCACATTGTGACTCGTGGAAATACGCCAGAATCGAGCCATTCACGGCCGTTCCATAAATCACGGAATGTCTGAAAACAAAATTTAAAGTAACAATTTTTATTGAGTTCAATTTCAATATTGTGTCTACCTAAATAATATTGCATTTAAAATGACACACAGATTTATTAGAATGGTTTTTGATGAGTTAGTTGAATACACTAGCAGTATTGCTCGAAAGAGATCATATTTGCGGGTTTTAGACAGCGAATGTCTCCTTTGTATAAGAACTGTAAGAAATAGAGTCGAGTATTTTCCCAAAGGTATTTGAGAGTTGCATATGTTTATATATACAATGTTTATATCATTATCAAAGAAACAAACTCGATTTTGGATTCTGTTGCTGAAAACCAATATATATTTTTGGTGGGTACCAGACCTATCAATAATTTATGTAAAAAATGCGTTTATGGAAAATCGCTTTCTTCTTTTGGAACTAATAATTAGAACAAATATCATCCAATACGATTCTATAGTTTCCTTCTTGCTGGTAACTATCAGCTAAACAAATGCTCTATTCACTATTTCACTCGTTCTCTCTTACAACATGTAGAACGGCTCAAATTATTTGATTTTACCGAAGCAAGACTCTATTGCACCAAATCTGTACAAACTATTGTTCTGTACTCACCTGCAAACCCCAGAAGGTATAGTCGCTCCCCAGAAAACTGTTTAGGATATAGAATTGTGTGAAGATATTGACAAGGTATAGGAATTTAACGAAGAGGTAAAGCATAGAAACATAAGACCCTAGTCCTCGACCAAATCTGAAACAGGTCATCAATTTTGCTGTTAGGCCTAAGCTACCGTAATCTAACCTAAAGCATAGTACTCGATACGGTGTCCGTCGTTCGTTTTGAAATTCTAAGCATTCCTCGAGGTAGATTGCTAGTTTTTCCACTTCTTTTTTGCGATCACCTCCACCAATTTGTCGCAATTTTCGAGCGTCTTCAATCGCAGTGCTCAAGTCGATTCCTGGGGTCATGATCATTAGAAAATCAGATGATGTAGTAGTAACTTAGAGATTCCATTGAGTCAAATTATGGATACGCATTTTGGAAACACGAGGCAACACTGAAATCACACAAGAAATATCGAAACACTTTTTGTCCTCCCTGAAAATTTTTCAAAAATTAAGAAGACTACATACACTTTAGAAAACTGCAAAAAACCGCAAAAAAGTGCTTTTTCCTCTTTTACTAGTCCATGCAATACTAAAGAGTACTGTAGCGAGGGAATTTGACCAATCGCACAGATCAAACAGATCACAACTCCAATCAATAAATTTTGAAGTATTCACCACTCTGCTGATGAAGCGTTTTCCAAATCCAGTTGGGTAGGTAAAACATAATAGCTTGTAGCGCCAGTACGATGGGAACCCATTGGTAATAGCCAATTTCAGCCTGAAAATAATAATTTCGTCGAAAATCTTAGAGTAAACAACGAAATTAGATGGACCTTGGAACGATCTTCGTCATCGGCGGGAATCTCTTCATGAAATGGTACAAAGAACGTATTTTGTATGAAACAATAATCTTCGGCATATTGTTCCCATCCGCCTTTGAATTCCATAGGCATCCAACATTGAATAGGTGAACCAACATATCTACAAGGAGATTTAAGTCCTTAATATTTAAAGAACAAAATTTTTCGATGATTGGTTTTTCAACTTTACACCTTCCTCCCCCTCCTTGCAATTTCTTCTTCCTAAAGATTTTCCCACTTCACACCGGAATGTGACAATAAACCCCACGATCAATTTTAGCTGAGAAATTTTCAATGCGCGTAAATCTCCCTCGAAATTGTTTGATGAGACGGTATGCCAACATCGCAGCTTTGCTGCACGAATTAATTTGTTTGAAGACCCTATCGCTATCCGTCAATCAGTATAGACAATCCAGTTTTCACAGCCAACAGTTCGATTGTGGTTTGATTGCACGACAATGTGCATCAAACGGAGCAGAATCAAGTTTTAGAGCTTAATTATGTGTTTGTTCAAGGAATGGTTGAATTCAAGCACTTAATAAATATACGAATTTCAGCAAAGGACTCAGAGAGAAACAAATAACAGTCCTAGATATTCAATTCCATTGCAAAGTGGAAATATCGGTAAGTAACCAAAAAGTCGGGATCTTGTTATTTTGGCAGAAGTTTATTCACGTTAATATCTATTTTGAAGAATTGCGATCAGCAAGCTGCTGTAAGAGTTCGCCGTTTTTGAGAAAAGGATTTATGTTTTTTACAGAAAATTTTTGAAAGTTGCGTCTAGTAAATATGAGCTTCGTCGAGTCATGATATGTGATGTTGAGTTGCGCTGATATGCGTTGATATGCGCATTGCACAACACGCGCGCTACTTTACGACTTCTAGTTGAAATTTGTGGTTTTTCAGAAATTCTTCTTACTTTTCTCTTTCTTGCTTATTTGAATACATATGATAAAGTAGCACAGAGTTTTATAATTTGTTCCGATAGAAGAGCTTCGTTTGGTGAGTTGTAAGGTGTCGTCGATTGCCGCGCGTAGTGTGCAGGCTCACATTTTAAGTTCCAAATGCAAACATGCATACTGGTAACTGTGAGATTAAAAAATGAAAATTCTGGATGACTGAAAGGTATGAAATCTGAGAAATTTCTGCCAAAGTTACTTGAATCGATTGTCGATTCAACGATGATATCATTATTATTTACTCTGTGACGAAATTTTCTCCACAAGGACTCGGATTAAATGTTTTTGACCCGCACTTGAAGCTAAATCCCTTAGTCATAGCACTCAGGTGCAGATGTTTGCAGCGATTGCGTCATGGCCACGCTCGAAGCAAACCGTTCGCTTCCTTCCATACAGTAAAACCTGCGGTTCTCAGAAAGTTACTACAGTGCCTGAATTGAAAGCTACTTCAAGTTCTTCGAAGCTTTTCATAGGAATCTCTTTTTCTGCAGCTGAACCGGAAGTAGAAAGTAAACGAATGCATTGATGCGAACGATCTATTTCAATGCAAGCAAAAAAATTATTTTAAAAGGGTCTAGTAAAGCCTTTGACAATAATAAATGGATATCCTCCTTTTACGTTATAGATAATTTATATTTTAATGTTTTAATGCATAAAATAGGATCAATGACCTTGTGAGCACACATGACTGCTCAAAGAAAGTAAACTACAAGCTAATTCAATTTTATGTAAAATTAGATAATCATCGCAAGATACCTGAAGTCATAAGATGGATTTAATTTGATGCCATGAATTTTATAATGAGACTTCCTGGTTTCTAATGTTGTTGTTAACTTTTGTAATAAATATGTTCTTTGAGCGCAAAAATGAATGCAATTAGTTGAGAATAAAGTGATTAAATAATGAATAACGTATGCAAAAACACGAAAGATGCCTTGCCCGTCTGCGCAAACAGGAGATCAGAAAAAGGGATTTTCTTTATTTGAATTTAGCAATGAACACTGCTCAAGATTTAAACGGGTTTATGTTTATTAGTAGGGAGAATTCTTTTGTAATAATAACGACAAATCATATTTTTTGAATTTTATCATTTCAGTTTTCCTATTTATCATTCTAGTTTTTCTAGAATTATTTAGGAAAATTAAGAATAATGATGAGACCGAGCGCCACCTAAATTTTTGAAAAGAAAAACCTTCACTTTTTTGCTAGGATGTTATGTAGAAGCATTGTTTTCCTCTAATTAAGAAGTACTTTCGATATGCTGACACGTGGAAGCTTCAGGTTACCATATCCAGCCAAAAAATATGAAAAAAATTGCGACCGTTTAAAAGATTAAGAATAAGAATGGTTTAGGATATCTGTTGCATTCTTTGACCATTACAAGATCAGATTAAAAGCTTATTTACATTCTTAGGTGAATGTTTCCCCAAATTCTAAAATAATTCTTCTCGAAAAAGTCAACATATAAAAAAGATAGCGCGCTCTAACGCTACACTTCTCACAGCTAATCACACGGTATGTCACGTATGAAAGATTTTTACTATTGCTACTAAACTCATTCCCACCGTGATTATGTCACCCATCTGGTCCGAGATCGTCTCGCGATTGTGCGCACATCATAACGCAGACAGCAATCGTGCAAGCAAGCCTTTAGTATTATACAGAAAGCTGTAGCATAGCTGAGAAAATAGCAAAAAGCGGGGGGGGGAGGGGAGTCAAAGGATCCACATTCTAAAAATGTGGTGCTTTTTTCAAGGAGCTTCTAACAACTTTGCGATTTTACTGGGGCAGTTTATTTTATATTTGACCTAGCTCATGATTCATGAATTCCTTTTAACATGCGTATACATTTTGTTAATTATGGATCGAATCCACCATATATATTCAATAATCTTGCAAGCTATTAAGAAAAACTTCTTTATTTGGCCCTCTAGAAACTCTCTCAATTACAAATACCGCTAAACTACTTGAGACTCCTGTCTTATTTCTCACAAATGTAGTGAAGCTAAGAAAAGCTATTCGAGGACAAATTACACCAATTTTCTCTACTTGACCTTCGAAAAGAAGTCTGAGAAAACGGCTTGCAAAGTTCTTTCCACGATGAGAAAACTTGCTCCACCAGTTTTCGGAAGGAAAATCACTTTGTATAAAAATTAGAGTATGGAATACTTCTGCAGATTTTTGCAATTTTTGATTATTTTTCCAAAGATTTCATCTCTATTATGCAGCTTTCCATTTTCAGCTTCCTGTAATGTCTTGATAAGAATCAAAACTGTTTTCCTGATTCCAACACATATTGAATTAAAACTCTGTAAACGCAAGAAAAATCTCCATTTTCAATGAACTCATTTTTATTATTAGGTTGGTGCAAAAGTAATGCGCGTTTTCCTAGCCCTTGTTTCAAGATAGCTTTTCCCCATCGTTTCTCCTATAAAACTTAACCAGCATACCGTTAAGAAGCTTCTTTCATGCTCTATCCAATGGTGATTGAAAGAAGCTTCTGGCCTCATTTGTTAAAAGTTTATAAAGCTTCATACAACCGCGCTCGAAACCAGAATTTCATTGCACTTACTTTTTTGGCCAGAATTTGAGCGCGAGTAAACGCATTCTCTTGAAAATTTAACTACTGTATGTAGTAGAAATTTCTTACGTTCAGCACTCTTTACTGTTTTTTCAGAGATTATTTAGACTGAGATTTCGGCACCTCAACAAGAGTGATGGTTTTGACCATTCTGTGGCCCATAAATTTCCTTTGAAGAGGGCAATCGCTAAAGCTTCGCTCATTTCTATAAGCGTAAGGGTGGGCCTTTTGTTGACAGTTTTTGCAGAAATGTGGAAGCTGTTCAGTTTACAGAAAATCAAAAATCTCCATATTTTGGGATTTTGAGGGCTACGAAAAAACGTTGAAAAAAGCGGACAATTTTGAATATTATTTTTCCCTTTTCGCAATTCTTCTTTGTTCAAGCCCCTTTCAAATTTTTTTGTACTACTGGCTTACGGCTACAAGGCAGTCAACTTTTCATTTATGCCGACAAATCTTGAAGGAAGTTATGATCAGTTGAAAACGAGGTTTCCGAAAAAAAATTTTTTTTTGCTTATCAATCCATATTTTTCCACCGTTTTGCGATGTTAGCATAAATTAATGTGCGAGAGAGAGGTTTGGTGTCTCTGATGGACTTTGCCGCACTGAGAAATATGGATTTTTTAGAAAGTTATAGCACTCCAAAGTGAGAACTCACAAAACGCGCATTATTTTTGCACCAACCTAATAACATTTCCTAAAGAAAACAGCTTATGCGTTTTCTGAACTACTCAAAACGATAATAACTGCTTGTTTATGGAGGCGATGTAACCTGGTAAAAGAAATCACCCAAGTCACTTTTTCGTTTAAAAAATGCTAAATTGTCCAACTGAATCTAGTCTTATTTTTGGTGTTAGTTTTTTGATCTATCCTTTCTGACTAAATTCGTGGTCATGGATATCTCTAAGAATACCTATGATTTTCAATTTTTGTATTAGTCTGAAAATTTCGTTTTTTACGCAGCTTTTTCCTGTCTAAACCTTGATGATGAGCCTATCCGGCAACCCAACGTGGCCCACTAAATGCGTCTATGCATGGGCTTTACAGCCGTACTGGGCAAATACCTCAGTGCTTGAGCACACAGCGGTCAAGCCTCACAAACGTCGTGGGAATCGACGCATACAAAAGTAAGCTAACACTCTCCGGTCGCGGGTAAGGTTGCAAAGGTCGTGCGGGGGGGGGGTGAAAATTTTTGGCATCTTGAGGAAGAACTATCCCTCAATCAAGCACCTTTCATCCTGCATCTATTACAAAAATTCTTTTGAAAAAAGCAATGAAAATGCAAAACGTACTGTTTAGCAGACACCATAATAGCGAAGAAAGTTAGTAATGTAGAAGTAATAAAATAATTGAGTCGATCGACAGGATCATCAAAACTTTGCGGCTTAAACCAATTCCAGATCGCATTATCAAGAAATGGAATGCCAAGCATTCTGAAAAATTGTTGGAGATTATGACACTTGGAAAATTACGAAAAAATACGACATTTACAATTTTAGCTTCAAAAATATGCAACAGAAATTCAATAAGGTCAAGACAAAGCAGCAATCCAGAAAGGTCAAGAAAAAAATTTGGATGGATAAGGAGACATTAGACAATCTCAAAAAATTTGAAAGAGAGGTGATAGAATGTAACTGGATGGTCAAGTAACTTTAAAAAAAGAATTTTTATCAGGAAAATCACAACGAAAATAGAAAGTGGTCGGCTCGAAAGCTTTCGCAAAAAAATGAGGGCAAGCGGAAGTTTGGCTTTGCAGACCGGAATGATACGGCTGAGAGGTGTGGCAATAGAACGGGAATGATACAACGAGGAAGAAATTTTTCGTGATCAGAGGGAAAATTGAAAATAAATTGGAATTTCCAGTCGAAAAATAGATTTTGTCTCTATGAGGTAGAAAAGCAAAAATGATATGAGGAAGAAGCTGAAGACTTTTCCTAAGCGTTCTATGTAAAGACAAATGTGGAGAATCCTGTGTCGACCCTGGACACGCTCGGTTGACCCCTGCCACGATCAATGGCATGGTACGGACGCGGGTCACTGTGCCCCGCCCACCATATGCCTCTCGAGGGTCCCACACCCCCCGCGTTGCCTTACGCGGGGCCGTCGATGACCAGTGAGTGCATCATTGCTCGAAATGCTCTGCGCAATGGCTTTCGTTTTGTGGGGAGCGTAGCGTTAGGTTGACGTCTGTCTACTCAAGTAACAAAGTTCAGTTTGATATGGGAAAAAGGTTTCGAAGGTAGAAGGCTGTGAAGCGAGCTATTCAAACAACAAACAAAAGCCTTGCGCATACGCGTATGAATTTTGCGCGTGCGGTTTTACATATTTCCCACTGGACTGGAGGCAGAAGCCGTTACTGTCAACATCTTGTCGATGCTCTTGTAGGATCAATGAGTATTCGAATTGCGTCATAGGGCGTTCCGTACGTTTTCGATGAACATATGGCTCGATTTCCCTCGGCTCGAAAAGAGGAATGATTGCAGATTCGGTAGTACTGTAATCAATCAAAAGTGCAGCAAATTTACGACATTTCAGCAAGCACTGAGAAATTTTTAGTCGATGAGGAGGTGTAAAATGCAAACATTGAAGAATCAGTTTCCATTATTTTAACGCTATTCCTCGGGACGCATAGTCACGAGGAAGTAGAAATTGTAGCCCAGTATTCCGCCAACAAAATTTTCAGAAGTCATGCCATACGATAAGCTTCTGGCACAATATTCTCTGACGACAACAAAATTGCAAAAAATTCTTGTAAGCACTAAACATCTAAGTTGGAACATAAGTCTTGCACCCAAAATTCAAGAAAAAAATTCATTCAAAAATACTTAGGCAACCATTTCAATCTGTAAAACATTTTAGCGTGTACAAAAGTATGTGGTGTTCTATCATGCAAGAAATTCTAATCTGAACAAAATCAAAATTCGATAAAAACTGAAAATCACAGCTTTTCGCAGAGAGGCCCAAAATTTATTTCAGTAATAACTGTAGATTACAAAACTCAGACCAAAAGTGGAATTAGAGGTTGCTAGGCCTTCTAACACTATCAACGATCCAAAATCGAAAAAAAAACTAGGAGAGTTTGTATTTATCAGCTTTTATCGCCTCTACACAATAAACCAATTCTTCTTCTAAGCACTAGCAGAAGCCCCATGGGTTTCTCTTTCTATCTTATATCATATTGAACGGATTCATGGAGTATGTAGGAACTTGCGCATTTTTTGAAAAAAAATGGTGCAAAACTTATTTCCAAATTAATATTTTTTTATCTGACGTGTTTCAAGAAAAGTTTATGTTCTACGATGCTAGAGAATAAATCAGTGATTAGTATCTCAAAATATATCTGGTAGACACTAGACACCACTCGACAAAGCAATATCCTCCAAGGAAAAACCAAATCAAATTGTCCTAGATCAGAGCACAGCGACGATCATTTGCAAAGTGTACAAAATTAGTTAGTAAAGTGTAGTACTTGCTTTCAATTTACTATTGTGCAACATTACACAGTACTTCAGACCTTTTGTAGACACGGTAAGCCTTTTAGATGTTGCCATCAAAAACATGTGCAAATCGTCAGAAATGTTGCAAATGAAAATAAAATATTGGCTGATATCTATCGTCATTAGAATGGATGACGGATGTGAAAAGAGCAAATCTTTATTAACAAATACCTAAGAGCTTTTTTATTATCTTTTTGGGACCTCTGCGCTACTTACTTTTGAGTTCATAAGAAGTTTTTTTTACGATTTCCTTTTGCTTAAAAGTCATTTTTTTACATCATGCCAGAAGATATTGAACTGCACTTCTGAAACAAAATAAAGGGCATCTTGCTGGCGCAGAAAGTGCGATCGGGCTTGCTTGATCGTCTCCCCTTTACAAACAATCGGCCGATAAAGAGAGTCCAGGTAAATATACCCGGATCAACCTTGCGGCTTACCGAGCCGGGTAGGTACTGGGTAAGAGAACGCCTATCAGCGACCTCAATCTACAGAATTGAGGGGTACGGTCACTCAAAAGTCCGAGGCAGGAATGGAGTAATTGAAGGACGGGAGTGACCTGGAGCAGGCAGGAAATAGACTGAATAATCAAGATAGTAGGATCTCCTTCATGGGCAATATAGGAAGAAATTTTCTGATCGAAAAAATTCCAAGAGTGTGAGGTTCAAGTTCTTGCACTGAATACGCCCCGTCGATGTGTGCCCGACACTCAAGTAACCGCAGCCGAATCAAAGGAACAAATAAAACGTACACTCATCTCGACATCCACTCTCTTGAAATTGATTAAAAGTGGGCGTTATTACGAAAACAGAAATTCTTTTGACACTAGATTCCAATACAGCAAATTGCAGGCTAGCAGGTGAACTTGGCAGGATTCCAAGTCATTTTTATTTGGATAGATAAATCGGCATAAAAGTAGATTTGTTGGCTTTAAAGCTTTCGGCTCAAAAATGTCTGCCGCTCAGTAGAAGCTGGATTTAGGAAGTTCTGCTCAAGACTTTACCAAAATATTGAGTTTTTACCCAATTTTTAACAACTCTTCTTTAGCTCACATTTCATAGGTATTATTCATCCCTATTGCAGGATGTTAAAATACGATACGAAAGGAAGATACCTTGAATTTGATAATGTGATCTTCAATGAGTGGCTGTAGTAATTGTAGAGAAGCAATCAACAAGAGCTTGTGAACAAAGTCAGTCACATGCTACACTTTTATGTAAAGTCTGAGAAGCAAGCAAAGCAAGCGTTGTTGATCTTCATGTGTGGGTCCCCCTGGTAAATGACCTTTCTATTAGTTAAAGTCATATCTTGCTCTGGCTGAGATGTAGTCTTTTGATAATGTAAATAGACCATTTTATTACGGAACAAGAAAAGGTCGAAATCAGACACAACTCTTGAATGAAAGGGTATAAGAAATTCGTACGAAATAAGATTTGACTACAATTCGTTAGTTCCTTGAATTAATGCTTTTGAATACGTCCCTAATTCTTCCCGGATGTCATATAAAAAAAACTTGGCTGTAACAAGTGAACGTCCTTTTCTCTTACAATTAGGAGCCTTGGTGTAAGAGATTGATGCAAAAATAATGACCGATTTGCAAATTCTCACTTTAACACAATGACGTAACGTGTTCCACATTGTGGGTTGCAATGTTTGCCACTTGGGACAACGTGGCCCACATGATGGGTCATGGCGTAAATTTTGTTGAAAAGACTATCAATCAAATACACATAATATACTTTTGAAAAGTCCTCTAACGCTCTAACCCTAGAAATCGCTCTTGCGTTCCTCGCCTGCTTTATAGAATCACTGTAGGTATACTGTAGTTGACGATCTGCATGATTTTAGCCAAAAATTTGACTTATCCGTGGAAGGTATTTTCCTAAGAGGCAAACAACTAAAAACGCACGTTGTCGTTATGTTAAGTGCTACAACTTTCTGAAAAATCTACATTTCTAAATGCGATAAAAAACAAAAGGAACAGAAATGCTATACAATACAGCGCACATCCATCTATACTCATTTCACAATCAGAAGAAGAATATGGTTTGAAAAACGGAAAAAGTTTTTTTCCAAAACCTTGTATTTAACAAAACACAACTCCCTTTAGAGTTTGTTAGTACAAATGATAGGTTGCCTATTTTGTAGCCGCGAGCCAGTAGAACCCAAGAAAATGAAAAAGGCTTGCGCAAAGGATACTGTAGGAAGAAAAAAGTTTCAATCTAAAATTATCAGTCTTTCCAACATTTTCAGTAGTCTTCAAAGTCCCGGATAGAGTTTTCTGATTTTTTTGTGCTAAACAGCTGAACTTTTTTGCGAAAACCTTTGACAGGATACCTAGCCTTACGCTTACAGATTTGAGCTCATGGGTCATAGAATGATTGCAACGGCTACCCATGTTGAAACGCCGATCTTAGTCTGTATAATTTCAAATAAAATAGTCAGAGTGCCTGATGTAGACAATTTCTTATACATACAGTAGCTGAATTTTTGAAGAAGTGCCGTTTATTCGCGCTCGATTTCTGGCCAGAAAAGTGGTTTCATGGGTGATGAAGTGTGCTTCATTTATTGTAATGAAAATTTTGCCAAAATTGCCATTCTTTACTTTTATTGGGGTCCCAAAGCTCAGAGCAGCTCACCAGAAACTTCAAGTTTTTTTTTCATTGAAAAGAGAAGTAACTTCAAAGACGAAAATGAAACTCCCATTTCTCATTCAAGCTTTTGCAAACGCAGAAATATCGATGAATAATCATCAAAATACCAATATCATCAAAATATCACAGAATGAATGGTCAAATTTATTGTAATGAATACCGTTGAAATACACCAATAAAATTCTTACTCATTCTGCCACCGTTTTCAAGGGAATCGCGTACGTGGAGTACGTTTTGTTCGAACAGGTTTCAGCTTCTCTACAAAGTTCTGTGAAGGGTTTCAACAATAGCATAGCAAAGCCAGGGAA